CAATCATACTAATAAGCAGCAATTACACATTAGTGTTTAATTTGAGTTGCTGCTGAATAGAGTTGAACTTTCTTCTCCTGTGATTAGTTTGAGCTGCGCCCTCTACTGTACAGACGTGAATTTACATTTCCTTCAGCCTGAGGCCATTTCCTTCAGCCTTAGGCGTATTCATTTCACTTTTCTTATGAAAGGGCTTTTATGTTTGTAAAAGAAGAACTTTTTTATATTAAAAACAAACAAGCAAGCCCTGCCCAGATTTAAAAAGTAACTAAAAAGTAACGAAACGCATTACTTTCCATAAAAAGTAACTAAGTAACGTAATTAGTTACTTTTTTAGGAAGTAACGCAACATTGTAACGCATTACTTTTAAAAGTAAGCTTCCCCAGCACTGTTTGTCAGTAGTGGATCAGTAACCTGTGAGTGCTGTGTGTGTGTGTGTCTCAGGTGAGCGGGACTCCTCTGCAGGACAGTGAGATGAGCGCTGAGGTGCTGTTTGAGAATCCTCTGTCCTCGCCGCTCAAGAACTGCTCCGTCACGCTCACCGGCAGCGGCCTGCTCAACCTGCTCAAACAATCCAAGTGAGTCCCAGCTTCTCCCGCACGCACTAAACTCACACTCGCTGTGTTTATCGTGTTTATCACAAAGTCTGCAATTTTAATTTTATTCAAATGATTTAATTTCATTTTTACTATCTTTATTTTGAAGTTACTTACTTTTTTAATTCAATTATTCACTTTACTTAATTTAATAAATTATAATTTATTATTTTTAGTAAGCTTTTTAAAGATTTATTTTTATGACATTTTTATTTTTAAGTCATTTACATTGTTTTATTTTGATTGTTGTAATTTAAAATTATTTACTTTTAATTTAATACATTTTAATACTTTCAGGTTATTCGTTTTAATTTTACGATTTAATTCTTATGTTTTATTTTTTTTATTTTCCTCACTTGTAAGTCGCTTTGGATAAAAGCGTATGCTAAATAATGTAAATGTAAAGTTATTTACTTTTAATTTACTACATACATTTTAGTAATTTTTTAAGATTCACTTTCATTTGACATTTTTATGATTTAATTCCAAGTGTTTTATTTTTTATTTTAGTTATTTACTTTTAATTTAATAAATAATTTTTTTGTATTTTGTAAAGATGTTTTCAATTGACACTTTATTATTTAATTTATTTTTAAAGCGTTTTATTTTGAAATTATTATGATTTTTAGAAAGTTTTAGGATTATTCATTTTAATTTTAAATTTTTATTATTTAATTATTGTTTTATTTTGATGGTTTTAATTTAAAATTATTTAAATGTTACTTTTTTTGTACCATGTAAAATTATTAGACATTTTATTAGCCTTTCATCAAACTCACAAACCCTGATTTAGAGAACACATCAAAGTGATTCTTCAGAGTTTTTAACAGATGAAGCGTTTGTGTTCGGCAGCACCGTGGAGCTCGGCCCGGGTCAGAGAATCACACTGAAGGTGGCCTTCAAGCCCTACAGAGTCGGACCGAAGAAACTGGTGGCCAACTTCGACAGCTCCACCTTCAGAGACATTAAAGCCAGTGTGGACGTCAACGTGCGTAATGTAACATTTTTACATTTTAGATCATTATGGTTTAATAATATTTTGTAATGCTTTAGAGTACATTTTTTAAATAAATAAGAACAAGTTTAAAACTGCCACTGGGGCGGTACCTTTTCAAAAGGTACACTTTTGTACCTTTTAGGCACTAATATGTATACTTTAGGTAGTAATATGTACCTTAAAGGTACCAATATGAGCCCTTAAAGGTGTACCTTTTGAAAAGGTACTGCCCCAGTGGCAGCTTTTGTACCTTTTTTCGGAGAGCATAGCCAATCAGAGTTAGTATCCACTAGGAAAGGCAGCTTAAGAGGCTTATTTCCAAATCTTTTATAGTAAATATGGGTTATATAGACCCTCAGTCTGCATTAACCGAGTCGTTCCAAATTTCTTCATCATCAGAGCAAAAAGTTGCCATTAAACGAAAGCTCTGAGGCACCTTCATTAGCCTCACCAAATCTCTCCGGCCTCAGCGAAGCCTGTTTTTCTTTCCCCCTTAGGAAAGGGAAAAAAATAAATGGACTTAATTGAACGCCAAATTGAAAATGCATGACACAAGTGTTGACTTGGTCTCAGACAATATTTACACTTGATTTTATTCAAACAACTGACTAGCACTTGCTCAGCCGCTTGGCAGCGTTGGGGTAACGCATTACAAGTAACGCGAGTTACGTAATCAGATTACTTTTTAAGTAACTAGTAAAGTAACACATTACTTTTTTATTTTAGAAGGAAATGTCGGAGTTACTTTTTGAAATCAGTACCAGCAGTTACTTTGTTTCCATGTGTTGAGTGACAGCTCTGGTGTTGCCATGGTGACAGAAATCAGGAGTAAGTGCAGAGCGTTGTGTGTGAACATGATCTTACTGTAGTTCTAGACTAAATATCAACATGTGTTTACTCATCTCACTGCACACAAACACATTCAGTGTTCCTCACAATCAATAAAAACATTGTATATGCAAACCTGCAATAATTAAATACGTACATTTTTTTTTTCAAAAAATTAATGTATTTAATCCCATTTTATTAAGCAATGTCTTTGCTACTGATCTTCGATGATTCACTTCAATCATACTAATAAGCAGCAATGACACATTAGTGTTTAATTTGAGTTGCTGCTGAATAGAGTTGAACTTTCTTCTCCTGTGATTAGTTTGAGCTGCGCCCTCTACTGTACAGACGAGAATTTACATTTCCTTCAGCCTGAGCCGGATTCATTTCTCTTTTGGTGTGAAAGCGCTTTTACGTTTGTAAAAGAAGAACTTTTTTATATTAAAAACAAACAAGCAAGCCCTGCCCAGATTTAAAAAGTAACTAAAAAGTAACGAAACGCATTACTTTCCATAAAAAGTAACTAAGTAACGTAATTAGTTACTTTTTTAGGAAGTAACGCAACATTGTAACGCATTACTTTTAAAAGTAAGCTTCCCCAACACTGTTTGTCAGTAGTGGATCAGTAACCTGTGAGTGCTGTGTGTGCGTGTGTGTGTGTGTGTCTCAGGTGAGCGGGACTCCTCTGCAGGACAGTGAGATGAGCGCTGAGGTGCTGTTTGAGAATCCTCTGTCCTCGCCGCTCAAGAACTGCTCCGTCACGCTCACCGGCAGCGGCCTGCTCAAACAAACAGAGCAATCCAAGTGAGTCCCAGCTTCTCCCGCACGCACTAAACTCACACTCGCTGTGTTTATCACCCGTTCGTTAAAGTCTGCAATTTTAATTTTATTCAAATGATTTAATTTCATTTTTACTATCTTTATTTTGAAGTTACTTACTTTTTTAATTCAATTATTCACTTTACTTAATTTAATAAATTATAATTTATTATTTTTAGTAAGCTTTTTAAAGATTTATTTTTATGACATTTTTATTTTTAAGTCATTTACATTGTTTTATTTTGATTGTTGTAATTTAAAATTATTTACTTTTAATTTAATACATTTTAATACTTTCAGGTTATTCGTTTTAATTTTACGATTTAATTCTTATGTTTTATTTTTTTTATTTTCCTCACTTGTAAGTCGCTTTGGATAAAAGCGTATGCTAAATAATGTAAATGTAAAGTTATTTACTTTTAATTTACTACATACATTTTAGTAATTTTTTAAGATTCACTTTCATTTGACATTTTTATGATTTAATTCCAAGTGTTTTATTTTTTATTTTAGTTATTTACTTTTAATTTAATAAATAATTTTTTTGTATTTTGTAAAGATGTTTTCAATTGACACTTTATTATTTAATTTATTTTTAAAGCGTTTTATTTTGAAATTATTATGATTTTTAGAAAGTTTTAGGATTATTCATTTTAATTTTACATTTTTATTATTTAATTATTGTTTTATTTTGATGGTTTTAATTTAAAATTATTTAAATGTTACTTTTTTTGTACCATGTAAAATTATTAGACATTTTATTAGCCTTTCATCAAACTCACAAACCCTGATTTAGAGAACACATCAAAGTGATTCTTCAGAGTTTTTAACAGATGAAGCGTTTGTGTTCGGCAGCACCGTGGAGCTCGGCCCGGGTCAGAGAATCACACTGAAGGTGGCCTTCAAGCCCTACAGAGTCGGACCGAAGAAACTGGTGGCCAACTTCGACAGCTCCACCTTCAGAGACATTAAAGCCAGTGTGGACGTCAACGTGCGACCCGCCGCGACACGACTGGGATTCCTCAGCTTCAGCCGATAGAAGAACAAGAACCATCAGAGCTTTTATTCACACAAACACCAGCCAACAACATCACACACAGGATTTAGAATTATCATCTCAACAGCTCATTTGTTCAACTGTGTTTAATCAGAATAAATAAGCATTTAAAGCAAAAAGTCTCTGTTGATTTAATAAAGGAGGTTTTGAGTGATTACATGAATCGTGAGCATGAACAGATGTTAAGAATAATGTGAAAACATCACTAAAATACTAGTGCTGTCAAGCGATTAATCGCATGTAAAAAATACAAGTTTTTGTTTACATAATATATGTCTGTGTACTGTTTATTTATTATGTATATATAAACACACACACATATAGTATATATTTCGAAAATATTTACATGTATATATATTTATATTATTATATATAAATATGTTTAATATATAAACAACATATTTTTCTTAAATATATACACACATGCATGTGTGTGTATTTACATATACAAAATAAATATACACAGCACACACACATGTATTAAGTAAACAAAAACTTTTATTTTGGATGCGATTAATCGCGATTAATCGTTTGACAGCACTAGTATAAATACACACACATGCATGTATATATATTTCAAAATATATATTGTAATGTGTGTGTATTTATATATACATAATAAATATACACAGCACACACATATTTGATGCAAACAAACACTTTTATTTTTGTATATGCGATTAATCGCGATTAATCGTTTCGACAGCACTACTAAATAAACTGCAAAATAAAGAAATTATATCAGAGGTCAAGCGTCTGTGAACATCATGAATTACAGCATCGTTCAGAAAGATGGACTAATTCATAGCTTTGGGAAATCTGGGGAACTCGGGCAAAGTTCAGACTCCATCGAAACACATTCTGCAGTCTGAGTTCTTCTGCAAGAAGAACGAAAGCACTGAACCTGGTTTATCCGAGCAAACGCTACGAGCCTCAGAGGAGCAGCAGGGATCGGATCTTCTCCAGGTTGTGCTCCACAGCGCTGTTCAGAAACTCCACCCAGGACACATCAGCCTCCACACAGACATGACTGGACCTGATTGAGACACACATCATCACCATCACATGAGGAGGGGAAGACAAACCTCAAACTCTGACACACATGACATTGACATGACATTCTTTCTGGCCAAAATATATTTACTTTCTCACTCAAATATCAAAATATATTACAAAATATATTTCAGGGGCAAGAAAACACATTTCCAATCTTACAGTAGCCTACATTTAGGCTTAATTCATTACTTATTTTTATTCACACGTGTTATAGACACCAAAATGTTTTTCTTCAAATATGAATGTCTTTGAAGACATATGGAGAGCAAAATATATTTTTAAATGTCTTTTTTTTTTAATACATTTATATATTTAAAATACATTTTCAAAAAATATGAAAAATAGCCACCTTGCTGTTTTGAACAGTAAGATTTTAATGTTTTTTAAAGAAGTCTCTTCTGCTCATCGAGGCTCCATATATCTTTTTCAAAAATACAGCAAAAAGCCAGTAATATTGTCAAATACTATTGGAATTTAAAATAACAGTTTTCTATTTAAATATACTTTAAAATGTAATTAAGTTGGCTTGAAAAAGCCAACTTACTGAAATCCTATTTAAACTACTTCTTCTTCTTAGACCAAATTTGAAAGTGTATCTCCTCCTAGAGTTTTAAAGCTATAACCACCAAACTCGGCCCAGACCTTCAGACTGGTCTGACTCAGGTTGCTATATATTTTCTAACTAATCGGACTTACGGTTTTCCTAAAAATGACGATTAAAACTGGGGAAAACCCCATAGACCTACATTGACGGAATGTTCAAATGAGCCAAGACTCTTCAAGCTCCAACTGACAAATATTCAAATGTAAACACACTGAAGTGTGTTTAAACTCATCCGTTTAAATTATATTAAGCCTTAAAGTTCTGCATCCCATTAGACGCCATTAAGCTTCCCTTCTATGTACTATTTCTAACCAAGCGGAAATCTTCCGGTCTCTCTCGTGAAACCAACACGGAAGTGACTAAAACTGCAATTCATCGACTGGCCGCTTGTTTCTAACCCATTTAAACTTCCACTCTATCTAATATTTCTAATCTATCTAAATCATGTTAGCAAAATGCTAATAACATGCTAATCATGCTAGAAGCAGGCTAGCAACATGCTAATAACTAGCTAATCATGCTAGCAACATGCTAGTAACTTGCTAATCGGAGTGTCTGGTGTAGACACGGTGTCTGTGTGTTTAAAGAAAACAATCAGTATAAATATAGCAATCAGTATACTAAACATCGCACATCCCACGATGTGACTATCGCGGATGCGCACATCGCGATATCGATGCTGAAACGATATATCGTGCAGCCCTACTAGCAACCACCCCAGGTAGCCTAGCAACTGCATAGCAACACCCTAGCAATGGCCCTGGGTACCTTAGCAACTGCATAGTAACACCCTAGCAACCACCCCAGGTAGCCTAGCCACCGCATAGCAACACCCTAGCAACCACCCCAGGTAGCTTAGCAACCCCCTAGCAACCACTTTGGGTACCCTAGCATCCGCATAGCAACACCTAAGCAACCAATCCAGGTAGCCTAGTAACCACATAGCAACACCCTAGCAACCACCAAGAATACCCTAACAACTGCATAGCAACCTCTTAGCAACCACCCTAAATACCCTAGCAACCGCATAACAACAACCTAACAACCACACTGAACACCCTAGCAACCGCATAGCAGCACACTAGCGACCAGCCCGGGTACCTTAGCAACTGCAGAGCAACAGCCTAGCACCCACCCCAAGTACTAGGGCTGTCAAAATGGCAGAATTATATTCGAATTTAAAATGCATCATTTCAGTTAGGATGAAGAAAAGCTTTTGGCTTCTCTCCTGAGGCCACAAGAGGGCGCATCGAGCAAAATATTACTAATGCACGTTTATTCAAAGCATAAGATAACATGACTATATGTATGTTTTTTCAAAGTTGAACTTGCATTAATATTACATTGCTTTCTAAACATGCGGCTCTTTTGTGCGAGTGCAACACTGATAGATGTCCCTCTAGAAAATGCGCATTGATGTTCTCTTTTCCCGCAATATTTGTCATTAACAACGCAGCAGCGCCGCATCTAGTGGCTTCAACTGGATAGGCTAACAAAAACATTCAAATGCGACGACACTTACATCGTCATCGCATCTCGTGTGCCGCTGATAAAGCTGCCTCCTTAACGCACACCTAAAATTTGGATTTTTAATTTAAATTCGACGAATATTCGAAATTGGAATTTTTTTTGACAGCCCTACCAAGTACCCTAGCAACCACATAGCAATACCTTAGCAACTACCCCAGATACCCTAGAAACACCCTAGCAACCACCCTAGAAGCCACACCAGGTACCCTAGCGATTTGTTTTTCTATGTCTGTTCTTTTGATAGACTGTATTGCCTTCAGAACATTCAAACTTTAATCTTTAAAACTATTTTAAGTATTTCAAACTGAAAACCTTCAAACTTTAAAAAACTTTTACAAACTTTCTGGCTAGGCTTTTTCAAGCCAACTTGAAGTTTGTCTACGAACTTTACTATCTAGTTTATTCCTGTGATGCAACACTGAGGTTTCATCAGCCAGTACTCCAGTCTTAAGTCTCACACAATTTCTATTTTGAATAAATGCTGTTCTCTTGAACTTTCTATTCATCAAAGAATCCTGAAAAAAGTATCACGTTCATAAAAATATTAAGCAGCACAACTATTTCGAACATTAATAATAAATCAGCATATTAGAATGATTTCTGAAGATCATGTGACACTGAAGACTGGAGTAATGATGCTGAAAATACAGCTGCGCATCACAGAAATACATTACAGTTTAACAGAGATTCACATAGAAAACTGCTGTTTTAAATTCTAATAATATTTCACAGTTTTACTGTATTTTTGATCAAATAAATTCAGTCTTGATGAGCAGAAGAGACTTCTTTCAAAAACATTCAAAATCTTAATGACCCCAAACTTTCAACTGGCAGTATACACAGGTAAAGGTAAGAAGTAAATATTTACATATATATAGTGAAACATTTTAGCAAATATATTTTTGGCCATTTTTTGTATATTTAAAAAAATTTTGGCATATGGGACATGACTGATGTGGGAAAAATGATGAAGGGTGGAAGAAAGGAATGGAAATGTGTGACTGTGCAAAACACTAATAACAATAATTATAACATTTTCTCTTTTTAACAGCGTTCAGTTATCATGTTCAGGCAGACTAGTGATTAACTGACTAAACCAGTGTCTTACCTGGTAATCTCCAGTACTTTCTTCAGCACACACGCCAGTTTACACACCTACAATGAAGAATCACATCATTCATGAGCACTGGAAACTATTACAGCCAAACACACACACACACACACTTTCACACACACACACACACACACACACTTTCACACACACACACACACACACACACTTTCACACACACACACACACACACACACTTTCACACACACACACACACACACACACTTTCACACACACACACACACACACACACTTTCACACACACACACACACACACACACTTTCACACACACACACACACACACACACTTTCACACACACACACACACACACACACTTTCACACACACACACACACACACACACTTTCACACACACACACACACACACACACTTTCACACACACACACACACACACACACTTTCACACACACACACACACACACACACTTTCACACACACACACACACACACACACTTTCACACACACACACACACACACACACTTTCACACACACACACACACACACACACTTTCACACACACACACACACACACACACTTTCACACACACACACACACACACACACTTTCACACACACACACACACACACACACTTTCACACACACACACACACACACACACTTTCACACACACACACACACACACACACTTTCACACACACACACACACACACACACTTTCACACACACACACACACACACACACTTTCACACACACACACACACACACACACTTTCACACACACACACACACACACACACTTTCACACACACACACACACACACACACTTTCACACACACACACACACACACACACTTTCACACACACACACACACACACACACTTTCACACACACACACACACACACACACTTTCACACACACACACACACACACACACTTTCACACACACACACACACACACACACTTTCACACACACACACACACACACACACTTTCACACACACACACACACACACACACTTTCACACACACACACACACACACACACTTTCACACACACACACACACACACACACTTTCACACACACACACACACACACACACTTTCACACACACACACACACACACACACTTTCACACACACACACACACACACACACTTTCACACACACACACACACACACACACTTTCACACACACACACACACACACACACTTTCACACACACACACACACACACACACTTTCACACACACACACACACACACACACTTTCACACACACACACACACACACACACTTTCACACACACACACACACACACACACTTTCACACACACACACACACACACACACTTTCACACACACACACACACACACACACTTTCACACACACACACACACACACACACTTTCACACACACACACACACACACACACTTTCACACACACACACACACACACACACTTTCACACACACACACACACACACACACTTTCACACACACACACACACACACACACTTTCACACACACACACACACACACACACTTTCACACACACACACACACACACACACTTTCACACACACACACACACACACACACTTTCACACACACACACACACACACACACTTTCACACACACACACACACACACACACTTTCACACACACACACACACACACACACTTTCACACACACACACACACACACACACTCTCTCACACACACACACACACACACACACACACTCACACTAACAAACTCATCACACTCACACACTCACACACACTCTCACACTCACACTCACACTCACAAACTCATCACACTCACACACACACTCTCACACTCACACTCACACTCACACTCGCACACGCACACGCACACGCACACGCACACGCACACACTCACACTCTCACACTCTCACACTCTCACACTCTCACACTCTCACACTCTCACTCACACTCACACTCACACTCACAAACTCATCACACTCACACGCACACTCACACAGTCACACACACAAGTTTGGATGAATTAATCAAAAGTAGGTCATTACACTTAAATAAAATCGCAATATTAAGCCGCAAAAATACCATTTAAATATGAATCCTGTATGATCATGAACCCATAAATACATGAACATCTCCAAAACTGCTCTGAGAGTCACTTCATGAGCATTTTACGGTAAAATTACCGTTTAATTTGAGCAAAACTAGCGTCATATCACATACACACAGAACTGTAAAGGTATTCACGGCAACCCGTCAAAATAAAAGTCTGGTTTAACTTGAAGGCATTGTGCCAGAAATATATTACTGTTATTCAGTAGCCTACTACTAGTAGTAAAATGAAACAAACATTATTTTTTAGGGAATAATCACACATTTCTTCCATGTTTTAATTTTAATAGTAAATACACTTTGTTTGCCAAAAAAAATCAAGCTTGCTTAATTGTCAATAATTAAAATATAAATGAAATTAATGTTATATGCCTTCATTTGAAAAACAGAAAAATTTAAACACAACACAAAATTTCTGAGGAAAAAAAAAATTACAAAACGCTATTTTAAGAAGAAATTTGAATAAATTAAGCTGTTTTACGCATTCAAATAACATAAGTAACAAAATGTTTTTTGCTTCAAATATGAATGTATGTTCTTGGATTGAAATATATGGAGGGCAAAATGTAGTTTAAATTTTATGCATTCAAATAATTAGACGTGCTAAAATAAAGAATTTAGTAACAATAAAACATATGGTGAGAAAAAAAGAAAACACTTCACAGGGCCCTAAACATGTCATTTTTGTTAAACTTTTAATAAATTGAAATTGTAGTATAAGTTTTATGATTTTAATTAATTAGACATGCTTTTTGATTAATAAAATGTAATTTATCATTTAAAAAGGAGTAAAAAAAAAAAAAAAAAACGGAATCCAGAAAATTTTAAATGGAAAAAACTGAATTTTGGAAAAAATCAAATAGATTTCATAGGGCCCTAGTTCATGTCTGTCCCTGATGCACAGTAAATATCTCCACTAGTTTGCTGAAGTAAATCCACACACATGAGCTCGGATTAAACCCACGACTCACCTGTTCCTCGTGACTAATGATCTGGCACACCTAAACACAGCTGTGTCCTAGTGATGCCATTCATAACACTGAGACAGATCACGTCATGCTGGGATTCATCCAGAGAGAGCGAGGGGCTCGTCTGAACTCGTCTCGTGTGTGTGACGATAGACTTACGTTCATCTCGACGGCCGACCGCTCCACGGGGGGGTAGAGACTGAGGGCGAGGTCATCAACGCTAACGACACAAACACAACCCTCATTATCATCAGACACTGATATGTAGAAGGTTTGGCTGGGTGGTGATGTTTGGTGTGGTATGGTTTTAATGACACGGAGAAAGTGTGAGTGTGTTTGTTTGTACTTGTTTTGGACCAGATGTCCTCACTTCTATGTGAAATACTTTCAGGCCATTTGACTGCTCCTCACTAGTTAAACAGGCTTATTAATCAGCCAGAAGATGTTTTGTTCTGCACATGTTTCTGTGAGGGGTAAGTTTAGGGGTAGGTGTTGGTTGGCTGATAGAAAACATCATTAACCTGATAGAAAATCTATGCAATGTCCTCACTAAGATAGCCAAACAAATGTGTGTGAGTGAGTGAGTGAGTGTAAAAAAAACGCTGGATAGAAATGCTAAGATGCAAATAAATTATAAAAATGTGCATAAAAAAATTTAAGTGCACATTTGAGTAGGATGAACTTTTTATTCAATAAGAAAAACTGCTTATAAACTACAATGGAAACAAATTTCCTTCATAACTTCCACCATGCGCATCGAACAAGTCATGTGATTTGCGCTATAAGACGGGATAACTCGACAGTGGCTTCTCCTAGTTTTCTTTGTGATATTTAGAGCCAGTTTATCAGGAAGTGATGCTTTTGTTCTCTTTGACTCGCTGCATGGAAACGGTGCTAATGTTTTATGCGATATTCCAGTTTTGCGCATTAGTTAAATTCACATTAGTCACTGTGTGACTTTCTGTAAAGACAATATTAGGCAGACTAGGTCACCAGTTCGAGGTGGCCGTTCAACTAAATTTAAGAAAACTGTTTTTGGACAATCAGCTTTTTGAGTTAGAGCAGCAGAAAGATGGAATTTAATACATGTTTATATTAGAGAGTGTACAACATTTAGTATTTTTAAAACTATGCCTAAAGTGTGACCCTGGACCGCAAAACCAGTCATAAGGGTCAATTTTATGAAATTGAGATTTATGAATCATCTGAAAGCTGAATAAATAGCTTTCCATTGATGTATGGTTTGTTAGGATAGGACAATATTTGGCTGAGATACAACTATTTGAAAATCTGGAATCTGAGGGTGCAAAAAAATCTAAATATTGAGAAAATCATCTTTAAAGTTGTTCAAATGAAGTTCTTAGCAATGCATATTACTAATCAAACATTAAGTTTTGATATATTTATGGTAGGAAATTTACTAAATATCTTCATGGAACATGATCTTTACTTAATATCCTAATGATTTTTGGCATAAAAGAGAAATCTATAATTTTGACCCATACAATGTATTGTTGGCTATTGCTACAAATATACCCCAGCGACTTAACACTGCTTTTGTGCTCCAGGGTCACATATATGTGATCACTGTCTTGATTTTTAATTTAATGGAGTATGATGTGATATTGTATTGTTTGTGATTGAATATTGTAATTTTGTAACAACATCCTGCCCAGGGACTGCAGATGCAAATTAGCTTTAAATGAAACAAACAAACATGTTTGGATGGAAACATAGCTACTGACACACATGAGCAACAGCTATATTAAAAAACAATCTTCATTTTTATGTGCATTTTGGAATATTGCATAAAAAAACGCTGGATAGAAATGCTAAGATGCAAATAAATTCTAAAAATGTGCATAAAAAAATTTAAGTGCACATTTGAGTAGGATGAACTTTTTATTCAATAAGAAAAACTGCGCATAAACTACAATGGAAACAAATTTCCTTAATAACTTCCACCATGCGCATCGAACAAGTCATGTGATTTGCGCTATAAGACGGGATAACTCGACTAACCAGCGGACCGATATGAAACAAACAAACATGTTTGGATGGAAACATAGCTACTGACACACATGAGCAACAGCTATATTAAAAAACAATCTTCATTTAGCCATAAGCCTGTTCTAGATGATCTCTGACCTGCTCCATCTCCTCCGAGGCATCTTTCACCAAACCAACACATGACGTCAAGACGCTCAACACAGCACTGCGGTTATCTGTGAGGAACGACACATCAGGAGAACTCACCTTAAACACTGAACACTTACATGAATTCATGTCCTTGTGCAGATAAACTGAATATGTGACTCGAGCACAAAAGCAGTCTTAAGTCGCTGGGATATATTTGTAGCAATAGCCAACAATACATTGTATGGGTCAAAATTATAGATTTTTCTTTTATGCCAAAAATCATTAGGATATTAAGTAAAGATCATGTTCCATGAAGATATTTTGTAAATTTGGTTCCGTAAATATATAAAAACTTAATATTTGATTAGTAATATGCATTGCTAAGAACTTCATTTGAACAACTTTAAAGATGATTTTCTCAATATTTAGATTTTTTTGCACCCTCAGATTCCAGATTTTCAAATAGTTGTATCTCAGCCAAATATTGTCCTATCCTAACAAACCATACATCAATGGAAAGATTATTTATTCAGCTTTCAGATGATGTATACATCTCAATTTCACAAAATTGACCCTTATGACTGGTTTTGTGCTCCAAGGTCACTGCCAAATATCAAAAGTCACAAATGTTTCTTGTCGTTCGGTTCTGCATTATTCCAGAGGTGAATTACTCTAGTACTAGTTAGTAGCCGTCAAACCTTTCGGCAGCTGGTTAAACTGGTCACACGCGGCCCAGACGCCTCCGGTGGACATCAGCTGCTCCTGCGAGAGACTGAGGAGAACACATCAAACTAATCATTCAGACTCACTGGAATCTCTCGTACACAGTGCATAGAAACTCATGAGAACATGACATGATGTGAATATAATACAACCTTTCTCCAGGAGAGCAGAGCAGAGCCTCGAGCAGCTGAGCGAGTCCATCCAGCACCTGCGCCGTGGCGTCTCGGAGCACCTTCCTCAGCGTAACTCCTGCAGAAAACGGGGGGAAGTCGTGGCCTAATGGTTAGAGAGTCGGACTCGTAACCCAAAGGTTGTGGGTTCGAGTCTCGTACCGGCAGGGATTGTAGGTGGGGGGAGTGAATGTACAGCACTCTCTTCCACCTTCAATACCACGACTGAGGTGCCCTTGAGCAAGGCACCGAACCCCCAACTGCTCCCCGGGCGCCGCAGCATAAATGGCTGCCCACTGCTCCAGGTGTGTGTTCACGGTGTGTGTGTGTGTGTTCACTGCTGTGTGTGTGCACTTTGGATGGGTAAATGCAGAGCACTAATTCCGAGTATGGGTCACCATACTTGGCCACATGTCACGTCACTTTTTTTTTAAACAACACTCGCTTCACTGGGTCACTTGCCAGCAGTGTTGCCACTAAATGTAGCAACTTTTCAGACTACCCTAGCATCGTTCCAAAAGCACCTAGCAACAAATGTAGCAATTTTAAAAATGTATTTGGCAACTTTTAGCAACTTTTGATAAGTGACTTTCAGACAAAAAGGTATACATTCTTTCATATTAGCATAGCATGAGAATGTGTACAACTTTACTAGCTCTTAAAAAAAAACTAAATTGTAATCATTCAAAATTGTGTAAGTGTTCAATAATTCAATGTATTTAAAAATACAGTTATTCATATTTTAATATTATGCATATTGGTTTACAAACAAATCTAAATTAACATATATAAAATATATTTTTTGCTGAGATTTGATGTGCGTCGTGATCGCGCAATGACATCATAACATCTTTTAGCAACAAATCGACCTTCCTTTAGCAACTTCTGCTGAAAATGAGCTGGCAGCGCTGCTTGTCAGTTTGTTACTTTCTGAGTTTCTCAACAACAGTTCATTACAGGGTCACGAGACGTCTTGTGTAACAGACAAATGAGCAAATAAAGACGAGCAGGAGCCGTTTCATGTGAAAGTTGAGATGACAGATTAATCAAGAAGATGATCATAAACAACTGTAACCTCTCATGGATCCAAAATATGATGTATTATGAAAATACTTATCAACTCATGTGGTTGTTTTGTATTTTACACTACCAGTCAAAAGTTTTTTGGACGGTAAGATTTTTATGTTTTTAATGAAGTCTCTTCTGCTCACCAAGCCTGCATTTATTTGATCCAAAGTACAGCAAGAGCAGTACAATTCTGAAATATTTTTGAAACTGTTTTCTGTTTGAATATCTGTTAAACTGTATTTCTGTGATCAAAGCTGAATTTTCAGCATCATTACTCCAGTCACATCATGATAATAAATCATTCCAATATTCAGATTAGCTGCTCGAGAAAAATTTATTATTATTATTATTATTATTATTATGTTGAAAACGGCTGAGTATAATTTTTTCAGGTTTCTTTGATGAATAGAAAGTTCAGAAGAGCAGCATTTATCGGAAATAGAAATCTTTTGTAACATTATAAATGTCTTTATGATCACTTTTGATACATTTAAAGCATCCTTGCTGAAATTATACAGTAAAATTAAAAATAAAATGATACTGACTCCAAGCTTTTGAATGCTAGAGTGTATAATGTTACAAAGGCTTTTTATTTCAGATAAATGCTGATCTTTGGATCTTTCTATTCATCAAAGAATCCTGAAAAAATTGTACTCAACTGTTTTAAATATTGATGATAATAAAGATTTCTGAAGATCATGTGACACTGAAGACTGGAGTAATGATGCTGAAAATACAGCTTTGAGCACAGAAATACATTACAGTTTAACAGAGATTCACACAGAAAACAGTTATTTTAAATAGTAAAAATATTTCAGAATTGTACTGCTCTTGCTGTACTTTGGATCAAATAAATGCAGGCTTGGTGAGCAGAAGAGACTTCATTAAACACATTAAAAATCTTACCGTCCAAAAACTTTTGACTGGTAGTGTAGGTAAGGTAACTTTAGCTTCTAGAGATGGTTACACTGCTTTAGCATTAGTGTCATAGTTACCTTGGCTCTTTGGTAACCAAAAATAAACCGTAGTCAACGTCAACACGCTCTTCTGAACAGATTCGGCTATTTTCACACAACCCTGGAGTGAGGAGAACCAGAACAACACCGTCTCAGACGCAGAAAACACACAAAAGCACGACAAGCATGACAGGTTGCTATATTCATATTCTGAAGGGGTCAAAGGTCAGTCTGATGGGGTCAAAGGTCAGTCTGATGGGGTCAGGCGCACCTCCTCTGATGGCAGAGGCGGCTTCGAGAACATCACGCTGAGTTTTGTTCCTTCTTGAGACACTGATTTAACAGCTTCATCTGCGAAATGAGAAAAACAGGAGTGAGTCATTATGAAGTCAAACGATGTTCAGATAAAATATGATCATCATAATAATAATAAACACTGAACTCATAATCTCCCAGAAGTTTGACAAGCTGAACGCCCCGCTGCATTCATTCGACTCTCTATCTGAAAGACATAAAACACCCATAAAATACTTCACATTAGTCAATTTATGTCTATTTAATATTTAAAAACATCTTAACGTGTGTTCTAATCGCGATTAATCGTTTGAAAGCACTAGTTTTTTAACATATCACACTTTTACACGTTCATCACGTCTGTTAAATGACAGTAAACATCATGACTAGAACACTAACCTGCTAACTACCGGCTGTTAGCACCAGAGAGGATGTAAACACAATTATTTTCAGCCAGCGAGTTAAACTCTTCGTTGTTTACATTGTTAGCATTGGCTGTTAGCCGTTAGCATCACACAGACACAGCTCAAGTCTGTCGTTAAATAACATGACAGGATCCCATCGTACCTCTCACTCGATCCCTGCTGCTTTTCACGGAGTTACAGAGGTTTCGTAACGGCAGCAGAGCATCTGGACGCGAGTTATCGGCGCTCATGACTCGGTTCGCGTCTGTCTCGTGGATCCGCGGAACGAATGTCAAGCGGAACGCAAAATCGTGCGAGTGTCGCGCCGGAATGATTCTGTGCTGCACCGTACGGGTCATTTGAGTTATTTTAAAATATTACGAATCATTAAATATTTTAAATAAGATTATACAATTAAAAATCAAAATAAAACGTTCTGCACTTTTTAAAAGATATTTAGGGCGTCGTGCAACAACTGATCCAAAGTGCAGCAAAAACAGTACAATTTTGAAATAACTTTTCTATTTGAATATATTTTAAAATATAATTTATTGCTGTCATTTCATTCAGCATCATTACTCCAGTCACATGATCCACAGAAATCATTCTAATATTCTTATTTGCTACTTAAACACATTTATTATTATTATTATTATTATTATTATTATTATGTTGAAAACAGCTGAGTAGAATTTTTTCAGGGTTCTTTGATGAACAGAAAGTTCAAAAGAATCAAAAGAATCTGAAATAGAAATCTTTTGTAACATTATAAATGTCTTTATCATCACTTTTGATCGATTTAATTTAATTGATCGATTTGAACATATTTGTTACAAATAATTAAATATTTTAATTAAAATGATACAATTAAAAACCAACGTTCTGCACTTTTTAAAAGACATTTAGGGCGTCGTGCAACAACTGCTACACGCTTTGCTTAAAATAAAATTCGAAATAAGAGTTTTTGTGTTTACTTTTGTTTAACATGCTGTTTGTAATTATTAAGTAGACACTGTCAGTGTTCGCTTTAGACAGCAGGTGGCGCTCGACGACAACAAAACCAGTTTAGCTGCTTTAAACCAACAGTTTGAATTCACATGCTAGTCTGGGATGTGGTTTAATTAAGTTAAAAGTTACTCAAAACTAGCATGGCATCAAGCATGATACTAACCTTGTTCCATAGTACTCTTAGAAGAACTCTGGAGTAGCCTACCATGTCAAAATACTATTATAAATGAAATAAAGTTGCATGGTGATATCATCAGAGTACCATGGTATTGTCAAAGCATGCCCATTTTGTTCATTTTTGCCCATTTGCTGTCAAAAGCAGCCTTCAGCAGTTTCCCATAATTCACACGGTTGACAATAATCTAAATAAAGACACTGTAGAGCTGCTTCACAGCTGAAATTGATGCATTTGACAACATTAACACTGTTATTTTCCCGTCCATTGCTCTGGAGCTGCTTTAAAACAATCTATATCATATCAAATGCTGTAGAAACAAATGTGACTTGAGGCTCTGAGCTGGAAACATGGGATTATTTTCTGTGAATTGAACATATTTTCATGCGTCTTGTAAAAAGAGCATTGCACAAACATCTGCAGAAGTCAGAAGGTTATCAGTCAGCACTGTTACAGTGGTTATCTAGCCATACACACAGCTGTTCATTGACTGTATTTATCACAGCTCATCCGGTGCTGTTGAGAAAGGCCATCTGTAGTGTTTGTGACTCCAGGTTGAGCTTTAGAGGCTCTTTAACCAAAACAAGCACAAGTCTTCAGATAAGAGAGTCACGTACTCTTCTTGTCCTGTTCTACATGTGTTACTTTGTTTGTTTTCATCTTCTGACAGCTCACAGCACATCCCATCCCTTCACATGTTTCAGATTCTTGGGTTTTAGTGAAGAATGTGACAGTGTTTATATGTGCCAAATATATAGAATCACTTGGACAAACAAACACATATATGCTTGTTTTTAATGGAAGCTGATGTGCAGAAAAAAAATAAATAACAAATACAATTTCAGTTATACATCAAACATAGTCAAACTTCTTCATGCGTCTCAGAACTTCTCCTGAAGTTATGAACAATAGAAAGTTTTCTGGTTCACAATAATGTTTTAAAAACCATTAGCACAAAAACATTTCTTATCTATAGTTTATGGAACTTTTTTTCCCGAAACGTTTAAGTTTGATGTTCATCTAACATCTAATTTTTGGAACAAGTTGTAACATTTTTAGAATGTTAGATTCTAACATTTAAAAAATGTTACAACTTGTTCCAAAAATTCAGAAGTAACATTGCTATGTTTGCAAAATGATACAAAGGAGCGTTCCCTTAACGTTTGCATAACCAAGAAAACATGTTTAAAAAAAAAAAACTGGAAGCCAGAAATAACATTTTCATAACTTAAATGGAATATTAGCAAAACGGTGTCAGAACATGTTGTTAGCTGTATTGTTAGAAGGAATTTTGCCTAAAATTATCCGGATTGTCAATTAAAACTCCATTTGCCTTTTTTTAATTTTTGATAATCTGAAATTGATTAATTGATATTTCTTGTATTTGAAGAGTCCAGAGCAGAACACACTGTAACTGTACTAAACACCTCAGATGAAAACTGCTGCTCACTAGTGCTTCCTGAGGAACTCTATCTGAGCGCTTTAAATCTTCTTCTGATAAAGACAATCTGAACTCATTTAGAAACAGGAATGACCGACATTGTGTTAAATGCATCTAGACACAAGCATTGTGTTCTTATAACATGATGTCGAGGCGCATATTTGAATAATTAATCGCACGATCATGTTCAATGTTACAAAATGACGAGCCTCCAGCTCAGCGACCAATCAGCGCCCGAGCCGCAGCGGCGCGTGACGTCACAGAGGGATGCTGCAAGTTCAGCTGTTGCGTCACACCAAAGGTCAGGTTAGGTTCGGGTCCGATCGAGTATTTCCACAAAGTGAATGTTTCAATGATTAACTGGAGTTATGATGCGTGTTCGGCGGAGTAATCATTCACTGTGTGTGTGTGTCTCTGTTCCCTCCTCCTTAGCTCTGTCTTGTATATATAAGACTAAGTGTCCACACAATGAGCAGAACACTGATGACCCTCCTCATCCTCACTGACTGATGAAGAGCTGCTGAATCAAAGCACTTCTACTACACTAAAGGTAAAACTTGTGTTGTATTCTGTGCTCTTATCAATATTATAGTTATGAATATTATTGCCGTACTGTACTGAATCATAATTCATTATATGTGACCCTGCAGCACAAAATCAGTCTTAAGTCGCTGGGGTATATTTGTAGCAATAGCCAACAATACATTGTATGGGTCAAAATTAG